CCAACTTGCCTGGGCACTACAGCTGGACGTTGTTGTACACCTTGTCGTAGTGCACCAACTTCTCCAACCAGAACAGGGAATCTCTTCATTTCTCTCCTGTTTTGATGTGCTCTTGCATCACGTTGGTTCTGTCCTCCACGACGAGTGCGTCGTTGTTCATCTTGTGCTGAATACGTGGATGTCAAAACATCAACACGAGCTGGCTCTGTCTCTGCAACATCAACACGTGCTGGTTCAGTTGTTCCAAATGAAAAGAAACCATGACCAGAACTTGAAGCTGCAGAAGAATAATGAGCTTGTTGAGTTGGTTGATTCTGTATGGCAGGAGCTGATGTGGTCTGAGGTTGAACATAGTTCGACTTGCCTTTTCCATCTCCTGGCTTTCCTCCTTTTCCATCATCATCCTTGCCTTTCTTGCCTTTTTTTCCTTTTCCTTTTCCTTTCTTCTGGAAGTATCCATACTCATCCATGTAGTACAGATCATCATAGGCCCAATAGCCTTCATTCCAGGTCTGATCATCGGCCCAATAGCCGTCATAGTTTTCATTCCATTCATCTTCTTGCCATTCATCTTCATAACCTTCTTCACTCACCATGTGAGCACGGCCTTTTCTTCTTCCTTTTCCTCTGCCTTTTCCTTTTCTTGATTTGAAGAACCTTCGTCCTCCTCTGCCTTTTCCTTTTCCTTTTCTCTTTCCTTTACCTTTGCCTCGTCTGATGTATTTGCCTTGGAACCCTCTCTGATACCATGTGAAGTTGGCGTCATCATAAACCCAGAAAACATCTTCTAAGGCATCCAGGAATCCTTCTGCGCCGTCTTCTTCATCTTCGGCCCAATAGCCGTCGGTTCCTTCTAATTCACCTTCATCCAGTACGAGGAAAGATCTTCTCTGTGCCATGCCAGAGGGTTGCATCAATGGATTGTCAACTGCTGTTTTGGTAGTGCAAAACATTTCCAAAAACAGATCACGTAGTTCTTGAATACTGTATCGATCGAGGGTTCGTCCACGATGTGTCATGATACTTGTGAGTGTGTTTCTCTGATCTTGACTCAGGTCAGCTAGACTTACAAAAATCAATGCTAGCAAATTCTCACCCAGTGGGAATGCTTGTCGCTGTGCTTCTCTACGATTTTCCTGAAATTGTCTGAATGCCGCTAGTGCCAGTTCATCTGTCCAAGGAACAGCTACATGGGGTGTTCCTGAGGCTGCTGCTACTTCAGCTCTCTCTTGTTGATCTCGTTCATGTTCTTGACGTCGTTGTTGAACAAACAGGATTGCTTCAGGACTAGTCACTGTTACTTCTGGAAGTAAATCCATCCAAGACTCAATAAGTCTATTGCCAGTGAGTTGAAATCTAGTCATCCACTTCTGAAGATCCATTGTTCCTCTGTTGAACTTCATGAACTGCATGAAACGGTATAAGAACACGTTCTGGGCACCTTTGATGAAATGAGGTCGTAGAAATCTTTTGAAATAGTGCACTCCTTCATGGGGATCCCTGAGTAGTTCTCTATCCAATAGCCTCTTGTATTGTTGAGCATCTCCTTCCAGTCTGTTGCGCAATGCTGGACCACGTTTCTCTGGTTCTAACTCCGTAATGTCACACCAGTCATCAATTGCATCCTCAAAAGCAAAGAAGCTGGTTCGCCCATCATAGGCTGGAGCAACCTTTGTGGTCATCTGTTGCGTCATATGAATCTGTGTATGCTGGGGTGCTCTTCTCATTGCATAAGAGTCATATTGGTTCCATTCATTTGCATCGACAATGTCGAAGTCATCATCATCATAGCCATGGCTTGCCATTTCTTGGGCTCTACCTGGAGCTCACCCTCAATGAGGGATCACTGCTCCGCTACCACTTGAAGAGGGGCCCTAGCGTCTACTTCAAGATCAGCTAAGGCGTCTTCCCCAATGACAGCACTCTTTTACTCTCAGCCTGTTGCCGGTCCGTGCTTGTCTACAGGGTTACTCTATATACCTCTTTCTTGAGCCTTGAAGGGCGCATATAAATGTGCTCAATACTCATGCATGTACCTATGTAGGTATTAGGTCGAAACAAAAACAGGGGGACAGTGCCACACCCCCACCACACCACAGGGGGGGGAGGGGGAAGATCTCATATGGGACCAGTATATGGGACCCATCCCATATGGGGGGGGGGGGGGGGGGGTGGCAGGGCCTGGTGCATATATGCCATCTAAGTGTGATTGATGGTTTTACCGACACGAGAAATACGTGTCACAGACCCCTTTGTGTCATCTTAGTGTTGCAAAAAAAGCTTCGTTTTGAGAGGATCTGTTTTCCGTATTGATGGCATACGAATCAACTTTTACCGGGGCCATCAATCTGTGACCCCTGTAATACAACATATATCTTCCAGCAAAGCGCCTGCACTACTCTCTCCTGGTACTCTACCTGTCAGGAAACAATGATGACTTCATCAACGCCAATTCAGTTTCAGCAAGCGTGCAATGTTGCAAGCACAAAAACAACTTGTGACATCTTGTGACGAACTTCATGTGACATTGGCATCCTCATCCTCAGGAAAGTTATGGAAAAGTTGTGTTGTTTCCTCCATGTGTTGTTTTTTTCCAATCTGGTTCGCCATGGTTCGCCATGGTTCGCCATGGTTCGCCATGGTTCGCCATGACCTTGGGCAGTTGTTTCATGATCTCCACAACTTGGACTTGAGGCACCTCGCAGGATGGATTTCAGATTTCAAGGGAACATCTCAATATGACAATATGATCGACTTGAAATATATTGAAATATAAAAGTTGTATGTGGTTGTATAAGTCTGTTCTATATGTGAATGTCATATATATATATAATATCATATATGTCTACTGTATTGAATAGTTTTCATATTATGTTTTCATGCCAATTTCAACCTGCGTTCCTTGCTCCGGCAGTTGCTCCGGCTTCACGTTGCCACCTCAACGACCTTCTCGTGCACCAGCGACACGGGAACTTCCACCATGTTCTCGGACAAGGAGATCGTGGGAACCTCCGTTTTGAAATAAAAGCTTGGGCATAAGATAAAGTGTGTAGATTCCTGAATGATACAGGTATATCGGGTATGTATATCGGGTATATTAATGTATATTAGTATGATATTGATGTTGGTATGATACTGATATGATACTGATATGATGCTGGTATGATATGTGTGTATATATATATATATTCATTGACATATTCATCGTGATTTACGTGTGAGAAAATCAGCCACAGCATCTCTTCAGTTTGCAAGTGACACCAACCTCAGCTACAACGGCTGTAACAGCATGTAGCAGGTACAGCCCGTACAACCCGTACAACCCATTTCGGATGAGCCTCAACCACCTTTTCCCGCTCCCGAACTTCTGGCTTCTCACGGATCACCACTTGGCATTGCTTTATGGAGTCCTGACCAAGGTCACGTAGTAGCGTGGCCACAACTAGCTCCCCACAAATCCAGCAGATTCCAGCCTCGAGCGCTGCAGCTGTGGCCAGTTGGGTCACTTCCACCACTTCTCGGACCTCGAAATCGACCGACAGCGTGTGATCCGAAATCCCAGAGATCTCGGTGATCCCGGTGATCCGAGGGCCCAAAAAATCCACACCTGGGGCATTGCAGCAGGCCGCATGGCGTAGGCCTCCGAACATATGAAGGTTTTAATTCATTTAGTAATTCATAGTAATTCGTAAGATACAGATGATACAGGTGGTCAAGTCAGGCAAGTCAGGAGTGAGGTCAAGGCTTCACTCGATGCTTCGCTCGATGCTTCGCTCGATGCTTCAAGGGCCAGTTGGGTCCATTTTGGATGTCCAGATGTCCGTCTGGTCCGTCTGGACTGATGTTGGGATCCTCCATGATCATATGATCCTCGCCTCCTGAGGAGCAGAGTACTGACGAGAGACGTTGCTCACGTTGCTCGTCATTTGCGTCACGTGCCTCATGGCGCAACATGGCGCAACATGGCATGGTGATGCATGGTGCTTTCTGAATTCCAGCGGAGAGACTTCAGCCATCTGCAGCGATCTTCAGTGCGGAACAGCATCAAACCATATCAGAGTGAAGCAATAAGCATCACTCAGTAAGGTGCCAGAATATGTTTCAGAATATGTTTCAGAATATGTTTCATAAAAAAACATAAGTTCTGTTTCATGCATGTTGAATTTGACATGTTGGACATGGGCACAACTGAGTGACTGGCTCCTGTGGCCCAATCTGGCCCTGCACGGTTTGGCTCACGCCCAAACGTCCCGTGGATTTGGAGACCTGCCTTGGAGTGTGAACCAATGGTGACATCGGTCAAGTCATCGACCCATGGCGACTTCAAAAAAGGCATAGTTATCATATAATTACCCTATCCTATCATCCTATCCCTTGATTATCTTGATATATCTTGATTACCCATTCCATCATATTCCCATTGGAAAAATCCTCATCGTCAATAAATGTGAACATGTCCCTATGACGGGGACCGAAAAACACCAGATTTTCCATGGCGACGAAACCGCTACGAAACCGAGTGGTGGACATTGGCACCGAGGGCACCGGGGGCACCTCGTTTGGAACCTGGGCTGAAGTGGGGTTGATACCGATGGATACCTGAAATGGGGGATTAACATGGATTAACTGGTTAACTTTTCAATTACGGCCCTGCTTGAAGGAAAATGATGGGAAAACATCAAACTGGGCCATTATCATCCATTATCTCCCGAAAAATTTCCGGACAAACTCAGTTTTCTTCCCAGTCTTTGGATCATGTTTCTGCAGCCGGCCTGGCCTGAGCACGTGGTTTTCCACATTTGCGGCAAAACAGGGAATCGTCTGCGTAGACGTTACCACAATGAGGACAGCTATAGGCCTGTGATCAAAGCTGGGCCCAGATTGAACCTGTTCAACCAATGGTAATATGTTCAGAGTATCTGCCTGTTGGATCCTGTTGGCATGAGATGGATATGTATCATGGATAACTACATTTGTGATGTGTTGCAAAACTTTGAAACAACTTTGTTCACAGCTTGCAGCTCACTCTGTGTTGAGCATGCCTTGTGAAAGCCAGCCGCCTTGGCGGTGAAATGCAGACATGAACTGTGATATCACTTCGTCAATCTTGTCCCAACCTGTGCGTGCAACATCATTAAGACATATGTCACATATCATATTTTCACAACCAGCTAAGCAGCGCAGAAACGTCTCTCCAGCTGTTCTAGCCATGACATGTTCAAACCAACCGCCAACAGCTCTCAGGGTGATACCGCCGTCTGACTTCCAACATTCCAGGGCGGCCTCGTTCAGGATCGACTCGGATCGACTCACTATCACTCGGGACAGTAGCAGCATAACATACACATGTTTCACCGCTGTGATGGTAAATCCAACAACGAAAACACATGTCATTTTGAACTGTAGGATGAACTATGTTTTAACTGGCGTTTTTGTGTCATGTTTTTGACCCATCAGCAAAACCTGCGAGTTTTGCGTTAAAAAAATGCTGATCATCCCAAGAATATGGAAAAGACAGGTCTTCGAAACCACCAAACGATGATCTGCATGCCAGTCAGTGGGTGAATGATAATCCATATATGAATAAGGTTGTACAGTTACAAAATTTAAATAAATATATGCACGTGTATCTCTCTCCATTAAATGAATTAATTAATATATATATATATTATATTATATTTATACGTCTATATGCAGAAGTACTAGCTTCACTGGCTGATATAATCATCAAACCTTACCAGTATATATAGCCACTTACAATTTGGGGCACATCCAGGACGACTGTGATGCCAAGATTGCCTCCAGGTTGGCACGACAGAAGCGCTCGGATGTGGTGCATGGATCTGCAGTCCACGACCTGGGCTGAAGTTGGTGTCCATCTGGACTGACAATGTCATGACCAAAACATGCTAAGATTGTTTTGTTATATTAAATCATATTGTGTTTTCTTCGGTGAAGTTTTTGCCTCCACTGACAACCTTTCGTCGGACATTCTAGCCATCATGCTCACGGATTGAGGACCAGACGATCAGAGAAACCGTTCCATACCTGAGATGTCATGGATGAGTCAAGGCATTCCATTGGCATTCCATTGGCATTCCATTGGCATTCCATTGGCATTCCATATCTCAGATATTCTCAGAGTCTCAGAGACGTCATATCTGTGAATCAAGCGCCTGCGAAAGGGGTTGCATCAACGCTCAGCCTGGCGAAGCACATTGAGTTGGGACGACTCGGAGTTGCTTAGTGGACTCCAACATATGCTTAATACTGCTGAATGCTTAGTGCATGTTGGGAGATATACAAGCTACTGATGTCAGAATTCAATGTTCTCTCTGCCCACGGAAAGTCTATTAGTCTAGATCATGTCAACATCTCTGGACATCAACGGAACTGGCAAAGGTCGCCAGGTCGCCTCCTGATGGACAACTTCAAGGCATCAGTAGCTCAAAGTGATATATGTTCACTTCAACTGATAAAAATCGTAGTTGGTTGCGATCATTACACCATTGAAGAGAGATCATCTTGGATGAATTCCTTCCGTTTTTCGCTGATTTCTCCGCAAGCAACGTCAGCTGCCTCACTCAATGAGCATGGCGCAATCTATAACGGGATTTTGCCAAATCTATGGGGGAGAAAATATCTATCCTGAATTATATGTATTTCAACATAATTGGGCCCAACCTACAACCTTCACCAAATTCGCATACGTCTTGACAGATTGAATGGGACATAAATGCACCATGAAGGAGTTAAAACGGTTTTGACAAGCTGCAGCAAAACCGTAAAATGTAGTCATATCAATCATAAAGATAAATCATGATAATTCATCATAAATTATGATCACCTATATGTTGTTGGCAACTCGCTTTTCACATTGTCGCATCAGTTGGTGAACCTTGGCGCCAAGTAAGCCAAAATCGGCGGCAAATCAGCAAAACTTCCAGTGGCTGAGGGCCGGGATGTTTCATTTCCTGACTGGAATAGTCGGCAGGAATGCCATTCGAATGTCATCGGAATGTCATTGGAATGTCTTGAAGTCCGAATTTCTTTCACTGCGAAGCAAACACGCCATCTTGTCTACATTGTAACTTAAGATAACTTAAGGAATGGACATGCGCGTGCAAACATAAACGAAATATTAACTTCCACGACATTCAGTGTCTCTTGTTGGCTGGGCGATTCAAGGAGCTTGAACAATGCACTGATGTCGTATTATTGGTTGAATATGGTTGAATGACTTCATACTTGAACCAGAAGCCTATTGGCCTATTGTTGGATTGATTGGCTAGTTGACGGATTGCCTGTCTAAACATCGAAAGCGCTTTAAGTTGGCAACTCATAATCAGTGGCTCGGTAGATCCATGTAGATCGATTGGTTGGCCCGGCCTCTGGGTAGATACAGTGCTTCATGAGTTGCTTCATAAAATGAATCACCAATAATGGACCGAATGGACCAGATTTGGCGCGAAAATCAAGCAACTTCCCTTAGACGACTCATTTGATGTATCGCCGAGCGAGCAATGGCATCAGGTTTTTCGGGTTTCAGTCTGAGTCCTCTGTACCTTACAGTTGAGTAGTCTTCACATAGCACGGAAAAGTAGGGTTAAAGGTTAAAATCGGTTAAAACATAAAGTATATTAAAGATTATTAAAGTATATACGGCGATTAAAGTACGGTGAACTCCATTTTTTCAGCCAAGGCAGCCAAGATCTTCCAAGGCCATGCGAGCGATTTTTGCCGTTTTCTCTCTTGGTCCACCTGGCGAAGGGGGGGTGGTGGATCCGCAAAAAATCACTTGACTCAGGTCATCTCGGGTCATCTCAGGTCACTGAAGCTGACTATAGCTGACTTCATATTTCATCATTTCAATGAAGTTCGATGCTGAGAAAAACAAAAAAGCAGCAGGCTTCTGACTCTGGCTTTGAACACGCGTACATGGATTAAAGGAATTGATATCCGCTGCACCGTTTTGCGTCGTACGGCTCGATCAAGCATGAAAGCTCCAGATTCTGGGTGTTTGAAAGAAAAGAATATCAATATACATGACAGCTCTGACGCGCTCACGCCCTCAAGGGAAAACAATTTGGAAGTGTTTCTGAAGAACCGTGCAAGAAACTCCAAAACAACAGCTTCGAGCGCAGTCAGTTGCTGATCTCCCCAGGGAACCCATGAGCAATCGGCGCGTTCCACATGTTGTGTTAAACAGTTGACCGACAAAACACGGGGATGCTCGCCGAATGTCAGGAGGGGAGCCAAAATGTTGCCTTGCACACCGACTGGACCTGGCTCAAACAACCAGTTCCACAACCCCAATTTCGCCGAATTCAACAACCGATCCTGAGAATACCTGAGGATAGACTATAGCCATGTTTTTGGAACCCGAGATTCGGCGCAGCCACACTTTTCGTATTGGGGTCCCTGGGCATGCCTGCCTCAGTTGATCCTTCCGCAAATGCGGTACACATGTGGAGGTGGTAGCTGGAACCTTTTTCGACTTTCCAAGGCTTTTTGTTTGACCAAACAATTTCGAACCACGAGCCTGGATGTATCTGGAATAGCCTGAATCAAGCTGCAAATTAATGCGCAAAGATGTGCAAAGAAATGATCTTCCACACTCTTTTACAGTGCTTGGCATTGGGTATTTTTGTCAAGGATCCGAATATGAAGCCATATGAAATCTGTGGAACGCTATATTTAGATCAACGTCGATCTCAAGCTGGGCATATCAAACCCATCAGAACCCACTGAGTATAGTGGCATAGTGGTCATAAGAGATGAGCATCGCATGAAACGTAAGAATCCGTATAAATCCGTATGAAACTTTCACATTCATTGTGACCCAGGAATCTGTCACATGTGCATTCCTGGCATGGCTAAAACCAGGTATCCGAAAACTGGCCCATACTGGCCCTTCATGGTTCCAGCTACGGTTCACCGGGCACTTCACGTGCCATCATTCTATTGTATGTCTCTTGACCATGACGGTCTCTTAAGCAATGCGGCGTCTTGGCCTTTGCGGCCGCTGCGACCATTCAAAAACGTCATGCAGCGGCCTTGCAAGCATGCTCCAGCATGGGCTCAAGCCACATTTGGTCAATGTCGGTTCGACATTTGCTACGGGAAAAAGAAAAGGGGCACTCCAAGCGCGCGAGATGTCTCACACCTGACAAGTGAGAAATCATGAGAGATCATGAGAAATCATGAGGAATCATCCTTGAGACTTCAGATCCCGCGCGCTCAAAAATTGGACGTTGTTTTGCAGCAAACTGATGATCCCAAGATGGCCCGGTAACTCTCTCCGTTCGAAGGATGCCTGAGCCACGAAATGCGAACCCCAAGAGCCCAAGAGCCCAAAAGCGATTCACCATGAAAAAAGTGAATTGGGCACTCTGCGTCTTGGGATGTCTTGGGAGATGCAGGATGCAAATTCACATAAGTTCACCTGAAGCTACATGGGTACTACATTGGTACTACATGGGCACTACATGGGCACTACCTGTAAAATATCATCTCTGAACCAAATTTGGGACCTGTTCCATCGATTTCCAAGGCCCCATGGATCACCGCCCAACCACCGGTCCTTTGCCACAGCCAATGCTGTCCGACCACGAGAAGTCTTTTGCTGGGGATCCACCTCAAGTGCAGGTCGAATGGAGACATTTGGATAGTCGAAAGGAAATGATTGGCATGACAAGACAAGATTGTATCAATTTGTATCTCGTTTTTGTCGTTTTTCTTGCTCATACAAACCATAAAACCTTCCATTCTTGCAAATGAGTCTGAGAGTGTAAGAGTCGCTTCAAAGGTACGACGAAATTGGATACAGTATCTTCAAGGAATGACGCAGACTCCACAGAATGCAGAAGATTGGCCCTGCTTCACGCTTCCCATGAGTTCCCATGACTTCCCATGACTTCCCATGAGTTCCCATGAGTTCCCATGATTCACTGATGATCTTTCTTGGTGCCCGCGTACCCTTCGATCCCCAGTGGAACCCACTCGGAAGTGCCTTATGCTGCAGTAACATGTGCACAACACGAAGATTTCCCTCCTGGGCAAACTGACATGGCTTCACATGGCTTGACATGGCTTGACATGGCTTGACCATCCCGGACCTTTCCAAGAGATCTCTAAAAGCAAAGATGATGTGGCTGAAGCTTTCTGGAAGGTTCCTACAACTTGTTTCTACAACTTTTGATCGTATACACCCATCTTCCTTGCATGTGATACCAATGCAGTTGTCGCATTTCAAACATGTGCAGTTGCCGCCCATCCTTATATCATACCTTACAGCTCTGTTGAACTCCAGCTGTTGGTGACTTGCTTACCGCACCCGTTGCATCAACTTGCCCATAGGCGCTCCTGCGATGCCACGTGGATTGGGAAGAAACGTTCCTGTCAGTTGCGCTCCGATGAGACTCCGTGAGGTTGGCAGGGAATGATCAGCCACTGACCGGTCTAATCAATAGGTTTTCTGAGGCAACGCAACCCATCAGAGCGATAGGCACTGAAACGATCCAATATCAATCATCACAAAACGTGTAAACGAGTTGGTGTTTGAGACAGCTGTCAATGGTTTCTTTCCTTCGCGAAAACCAACGGATTCGGGACGCCATCTCAATCTGAAGTACAGGGTCGACCAACATATCACCCACGAATGCGAAGCTAACCCCGCCAAACATCGAGAGTGAAATCAGGATGACTAATTTCTCTTGGGTGATTCCTAGAATGAAGTTTGCGTTTGATGTGAGGAACAAGATATAACCTAGAGACTCATGTATCCAAAATTTTGGGCGCATGCCCAAGCTACAAGAAAATCAGGCGCAAGTCCGCAAGAATAATGCAATGTAGAAAACATGGCGCAATTCCACAAAAACGGCGCAATCGAAATTCTGCACGGGCAAGGACGGCGCAATCACGGGCAAAAACGGTGCAGTCATGGGCAAAAACGGCACATTCCAGCACCAAAATCTAAAACCATATTTGTTTCCCAAAGAACGGCGCAATCAGATGAAACACTGTTTCGCTAGACCAGTATCAAAATTGATGCCGCACGCGTCTCTATAGGATTCTATAGGTATCAAGATGTGTTTTTTTTCCAAGACGGCACAAAATAAGCATAAACTAATTAAAACCGAGGATAACACGGGATAACAGAAAACACGGCAGGGTTTGAAAGGGGAAAAAACGAAGGCCGAGCCACTGGGGTGCTGAAGAAGAGACAAAGTGGCCGACTGCGTAGTGGCAGTGCACAGTCGCCTTCGACGTCCTCAAAGTGGTACTTCGCCAGGAATTCCTCCAGTTTTTTTTCATCCTTGGTGCAAGACATTGTGCCACCAAAGACTGACCTGGGATGACTATGAAGGACACTTTGTGACGGTGGTTTAGTCTACCACTCCGACATGTCTGCTTCGTATGACATCTACTCAGGTCCAGTTGCCTTCTTCTCCCTCGCCAGGCGATGCAACCTGTCAGATCTGTCAGTTTCATCAGGAAAGAGCTGTGACCGGCTGTGACCCCATGGCGTTTTGGTGTTTTTTTGTTTGGTCAACGGTTCACAACGGTAACAGCTACGCAGCTACTTTTAGACATGCCTTGTGGTGCTGCAGCTGGGTGCAGTGCTGAATGAATCTGTTGGAGCGTGTTTCACAGAAATATGATCGACAATTAGTAGAACTGACAGAACCTTTCGCATTGAGAAAGTGAAGCAACATCGTAAGGAAAGCCAAGGCGGTCACTACCTATTACAACCTATTACAGCCTATTACAACCTCAGAACATGATCAGAAGAATGTTTTGGATTTGGTCTCACCAGGATGCCATAGAAATGGCATGGCATATGTCAGCTGGATATGTCAGCTACATCGCCAGGGAGCTTGCCACAAGTCGGATTAGGCGACTCAGAGCGATGGGAAGAGTCGGGGCGGGAGCGGCCTGCGTGAACCATCTTGGAACCGTGCTGATCTTCGCTGAAATAAACGTCTTGAATGGTCTTGAAACACGTGGAAACCGGAAACATGTTGGATACATGTTGGATTTCGTCCGGGCCCGCACGCACATTGAGCCAATGACTCCAACACCTAAGATATTTTTCTGTGAGCCCCCTCTTGGCCAGGATCATCCATCCCAAATGAGCCCATACCGGGTTGAACCGTTCCCACCTTGGTCTCGTGGGTCTCGTGGGTCTTGTGGGCCAACGGCTCCCGGAAGATCAGGAAGTCGCACTAGAAGATCCTGGCGGTGACGGGTTCAACATGCATCACCTGTGATTCCATTGAAACAAGAAATATCGGAAACAGCGGCACGAACAAAATCACATATCACAGAAAATTCGACCTATAGGTTTTAAAAAGAGGCCAAAAAATCTGACAGTTCCAAAACATTCCCAAAGTGGTCAAAAATGGTTAGAATCTGTCAGTGTTGTCCCTCCTGGTGAGGCGATGGTGGTGTGGTGCCTGCCTGCCTCAGTTGATCCTTCCGCAAATGCGGCGCACATGTGGAGGTGGTAGCTGGAACCTTTTTCGACTTTCCAAGGCTTTTTGTTTGACCAAACGATTTCGAACCACGAGCCTGGATGTATCTGGAATAGCCTGAATCAAGCTGCAAATTAATGCGCAAAGATGTGCAAAGAAATGATCTTCCACACTCTTTTACAGTGCTTGGCATTGGGTATTTTTGTCAAGGATCCGAATATGAAGCCATATGAAATCTGTGGAACGCTATATTTAGATCAACGTCGATCTCAAGCTGGGCATATCAAACCCATCAGAACCCACTGAGTATAGCGGCATAGTGGTCATAAGAGATGAGCATCACATGAAACGTAAAAATCCGTTCACATTCATTGTGACCCAGGAATCTGTCACATGTGCATTGCTGGCATGGCTAAAACCAGGTTTCCTAAAACTGGCCCGACTGGCTCTTCATGGTTCCAGCTACAGTTCACCAGGCACTTCACGTGCCGTCATTCTATTGTATGTCACTGGACCATGACGGTCTCTTGACCATGACGGTCTCTTAACCAATGCGGCATCTTGGCCTTTGCGGCCGCTGCGACCGTTCAAAAACGTCATGCAGCGGCCTTGCAAGCATGCTCCAGCATGGGCGCAAGCCACATTTGGAAAAGAAAAGGGGCACTCCAAGCGCGCGAGATGTCTCACATCTAACAAGTGAGAAATCATGAGAGAGCATGAGAGATCATGAGAGATCATGAGAAATCATGAGAAATCATGAGAAATCATCCTTGAGACTTCAGATCCCGCGCGCTCAAAAATTGGACGTTGTTTTGCAGCAAACTGATGATCCCAAGATGGCCCGGTAACTCTCTCCGTTCGAAGGATGCCTGAGCCACGAAATGCGAACCCCAAGAGCCCAAGAGCCCAAAAGCGATTCATCGTGAAAAAAGTGAATTGGGCACCATTGGGCACTCTGCGTCTTGGGATGTCTTGGGAGATGCAGGATGCAAATTCACATAAGTTCACCTGAAGCTACATGGGTACTACATGGGCACTACATGGTACTACATGGGCACCACCTGTAAAATATCATCTCTGAACCAAATTTGGGACCTGTTCCATCGATTTCCAAGGCCCCATGGATCACCGCCCAACCACCGGTCCTTTGCCACAGCCAATGCTGTCCGACCACGAGAAGTCTTTTGCTGGGGATCCACCTCAAGTGCAGGTCGAATGGAGACATTTGGATAGTCGAAAGGAAATGATTGGCATGACAAGACAAGATTGTATCAATTTGTATCTCGTTTTTGTCGTTTTTCTTGCTCATACAAACCATAAAACCTTCCATTCTTGCAAATGAGTCTGAGAGTGTAAGAGTCGCTTCAAAGGTACGACGAAATTGGATACAGTATCTTCAAGGAATGACGCAGACTCCACAGAATGCAGAAGATTGGCCCTGCTTCACGCTTCCCATGAGTTCCCATGACTTCCCATGACTTCCCATGAGTTCCCATGAGTTCCCATGATTCACTGATGATCTTTCTTGGTGCCCGCGTACCCTTCGATCCCCAGTGGAACCCACTCGGAAGTGCCTTATGCTGCAGTAACATGTGCACAACACGAAGATTTCCCTCCTGGGCAAACTGACATGGCTTCACATGGCTTGACATGGCTTGACCATCCCGGACCTTTCCAAGAGATCTCTAAAAGCAAAGATGATGTGGCTGAAGCTTTCTGGAAGGTTCCTACAACTTGTTTCTACAACTTTTGATCGTATACACCCATCTTCCTTGCATGTGATACCAATGCAGTTGTCGCATTTCAAACATGTGCAGTTGCCGCCCATCCTTATATCATACCTTACAGCTCTGTTGAACTCCAGCTGTTGGTGACTTGCTTACCGCACCCGTTGCATCAACTTGCCCATAGGCGCTCCTGCGACGCCACGTGGATTGGGAAGAAACGTTCCTGTCAGTTGCGCTCCGGATGCGACTCCGTGAGGTTGGCAGGGAATGATCAGCCACTGACCGGTCTAATCAACAGGTTTTCTGAGGCAACGCAGCCCATCAGAGCGATTGGCACTGAAACGATCATCCAATATCAATCATCACAAAACGTGTAAACGAGTTGGTGTTTGAGACAGCTGTCAATGGTTTCTTTCCTTCGCGAAAACCAACGGATTCGGGACGCCATCTCAATCTGAAGTACAGGGTCGACCAACATATCACCCACGAATGCGAAGCTAACCCCGCCAAACATCGAGAGTGAAATCAGGATGACTAATTTCTCTTGGGTGATTCCTAGAATGAAGTTTGCGTTTGATGTGAGGAACAAGATATACCTAGAGACTCATGTATCCAAAATTTTGGGCGCATGCCCAAGCTACAAGAAAATCAGGCGCAAGTCCGCAAGAATAGTGCAATGTAGAAAACATGGCGCAATTCCACAAAAACGGCGCAATCAAAATTCTGCACGGACAAGGACGGCGCAATCACAGGCAAAAACGGTGCAGTCACCAAAATCTAAAACCATATGTGTTTCCCAAAGAACGGCGCAATCAGATGAAACACTATTTCGCTAGACCAGTATCAAAATTGATGCCGCACGCGTCTCTATAGGATTCTATAGGTATCAAGATGTGTTTTTTTTCCAAGACGGCACAAAATAAGCATAAACTAATTAAAACCGAGGATAACACGGGATAACAGAAAACACGGCAGGGTTTGAAAGGGGAAAAAACGAAGGCCGAGCCACTGGGGTGCTGAAGAAGAGACAAAGTGGCCGACTGCGTAGTGGCAGTGCACAGTCGCCTTCGACGTCCTCAAAGTGGTACTTCGCCAGGAATTCCTCCAGTTTTTTTTCATCCTTGGTGCAAGACATTGTGCCACCAAAGACTGACCTGGGATGACTATGAAGGACACTTTGTGACGGTGGTTTAGTCTACCACTCCGACATGTCTGCTTCGTATGACATCTACTCAGGTCCACTGATTACATGAAGGTTTCACGACGTGAGAACGAAACGGGCTGATCATTTGCCAAATGACGTTCATGTCCAACTGTCCAACCGTTCCACTGTCAACTTGACTCAAATGTGGGTTTCTTAAAAATGGGGGGACCCCCAAGTCACCATGGGTTTCAATATGTTTCAATACAAAAATTGTCTGATCTTGGATGATTTGGGGGTCCCATGAGGAAAACTCCAAATCCAAGTTGCCTTCTTCTCCCTCGCCAGGCGATGCAACCTGTCAGATCTGTCAGTTTCATCAGGAAAAAGCTGTGACCGGCTGTGACCCCATGGCGTTTTGGTGTTTTTTTGTTTGGTCAACGGTTCACGACGGTAACAGCTACGCAGCTACTTTTAGACATGCCTTGGGGTGCTGCAGCTGGGAGCAGTGCTGAATGAATCTGTTGGAGCGTGTTTCACAGAAATATGATCGACAATTAGTAGAACTGACAGAACCTTTCGCATGGAGAAAGTGAAGCAACATCGTAGGGAAAGCCAAAGCGGTCACTACCTATTACAACCTATTACAGCCTATTACAACCTCAGAACATGATCAGAAGAACGTTTTGGATTTGGTCTCACCAGCATGCCATAGAAATGGCATGGCATATGTCAGCTGGATATGTCAGCTACATCGCCAGGGAGCTTGCCACAAGTCGGATTAGGCGACTCAGAGCGATGGGAAGAGTCGGGGCGGGAGCGGCCTGCGTGAACCATCTTGGAACCGTGCTGATCTTCGCTGAAATAAACGTCTTGAATGGTCTTGAAACACGTGGAAACCGGAAACATGTTGGATACATGTTGGATTTCGTCCGGGCCCGCACGCACATTGAGCCAATGACTCCAACACCTAAGATATTTTTCTGTGAGCCCCCTCTTGGCCAGGATCATCCATCCCAAATGAGCCCATACCGGGTTGAACCGTTCCCACCTTGGTCTCGTGGGTCTCGTGGGTCTCGTGGGTCTTGTGGGCCAACGGCTCCCGGAAGATCAGGAAGTCGCACTAGAAGATCCTGGCGGTGACGGGTTCAACATGCATCACCTGTGATTCCATTGAAACAAGAAATATCGGAAACAGCGGCACGAACAAAATCACATATCACAGAAAATTCGACCTAGGTTTTAAAAAGAGGCCAAAAAATCTGACAGTTCCCAAACATTCCCAAAGTGGTCAAAAATGGTTAGAATCTGTCAGTGTTGTCCCTCCTGGTGAGGCGATGGTGGTGTGGTGCATGCCTGCCTCAGTTGAGAAATGACAACTCGAGACTTGAGACCAGTTTCTACTTCATGATACTTCATGATACTTCCCACAGCCCGGGCGACCATGGTACCATCGAAAAAATGACATACCACTCATACCACTCATGCGACCAAAGAAGTTGCTTCCCAACCTCTCACCCGGTGGGTCAACCCGGGGCAACCGAACACCCCTTTGACCCACGCCCCAACGTTTGATGAGGCACGGCTGTGGTGGCTGCTGAGGCAGCGGAATGTTCAAGCTGAACATCACTCGAGCAAGTTCACCAGGTCGCAGAATGTCACAGATTGATGCCAGTCTCGAATGAGACTGTCCGAAAATTGGAATTTCGAACCAAAATATGATGGCGGGCGAGCAAGATGGCTGCCCAACTCCTCCAAACTGTATAATGACTATGCGCCTGAAAATATATTGGGATGAATCACAGGTGTTCAGGATAACAATCCAATGTTAGCATCCCCAGTGGAAAGAACCCACCATTTTCAACCAATGGATTTTTGTCCATCAAAAGTTGCCACCCCTTTTTTCCGCCCTGCGTGCAGAAAGTTCAAAGCACGGTGGGCACGGTGGCTTTCCTTGGCGCCAGCCTTTCAGCTTCACCAACTCTCAAAGTGATCGACGGCATTGGCCAACGATGGACCATGAAACTTGATCACCATCAAATTTGTTGATGATATGGTTATTCAAAATTTTCAGTTGTTGAAAATGTAGCATGAAATTTAGAAGTCAAACTTCCGACAAAATGGACAGATGGAAAACCAGAGGTGGAAAGAGAAAAGAAGAAGAAAGACGATCAGAGAAGAGAAAAAGTCAGAAGAAAGAAGATGCAGGTGCACGAAAAGGTAGAAAAGTCGCGAAACACAATGTGTTTTCCAATGTTTTGTGGCTCTGGATGGTCGGAAAGTAGGCTCGCTAAAGCGGCGGCTGCGGAGCCATCTGGGGAGGTGAGAGATGAAAAATTGCACGCCGTTGCGGAGCAAAGCGCATGTCGAAGTCAAAATGCATGCTAAAAGCACCACAGACTCGGAGCACTTTTGAAAGGCACTTTTGGAAGTTGAGATGTTCAAAAAGTGCACGCCGTTGTGGCGGGAAGCACGTTTCGAAGTTTAGTGTTAAAAACTGATGGTCTCGGGCCACTTTTGGAAGTTAGGATGTGGTTTTGCATGGTAGGCGCAGAAGATTCGGCACCTTGCCACAAGTGAGCAAAACGTGAGGGTGTTGTAGTAGTTTCAAAAACGTTAGCAGGCGCGGGGCATTTGAAGAGGATCTGCAAAGATGCATTTCGCGCGGCAGGGGCAGTAGAAGAGACATGTTCATCAGAGATGTTAGAGGGTCAGGGCGCAGATTTCCTTAGAGAGGTTGCATTTTGGAGCATCAGATCGTCAGGTTTGCTGAGATGATTTTGCGTGACAAGCGCAGCGCTTTGTATGACCTGGCTTCACTTTTTTTTCGTGGCACGCGCAGTACTTTAGACAGGTCGAATGGAAAAAATGCAAAACGCATTGGTACGAGGCCGACAGCTCTGCACGCAACTTTCCGTTTTTGAAGGAAGTCTCGCAGAACTGCTTCGTTTTTGATGTTGTCACGAAACTTGAGGATGTCTCACAGAGTTGTTTCGTTTTTTTGACGTTGTTGAATTCACTTTTGGATGCTGTCAAGTTCAAGAGTTGAGGAAGTCTCGCAGGATATCTTCGTTTTCAAACTTGCAGCTAGACAGATAGATCGACAGATAGATAGATAGATAGATAGACAGATAGATATAGATAGATAGATAGATAGATAGTTAGATAGATAGATAGATAGATATATATATATATATTTATATTATATATATAGATAGATAAATAGATAGATAGATAGATAGATATAGATATAGATAAATAGATTGATAGATACATACATAGATAGATAGATGGATGGATGGATGGATCGATGGATAGATGGATAGATGGATCGATGGATAGATGGATAGATGGATCGATGGATAGACGGATAGATGGATAGATGGATAGATGGATAGATGGATCGATGGATAGATGGAAAGATGGAAAGATGGATAGATGGATGGATGAATGGATAGATGGATAGACGGATAGATGGATAGATGGATAGATAGATAGATAGATTGATAGATAGATTGATTGTTTGATAGATAAGATAAGATAAGATAGGATAAGATAAGATTAGATAAGGTAAGATTAGAAAAGATAAGATAGGATTAGATTAGATTAGATTAGATTAGATAGATAGATGAATAGATAGATAGATAGATAGATAGATAGATAGATAGATAGATACATAGATACATAGATACATAGATACATAGATAGATAGACAGACAGATAGATAGATAGATAGATCGATAGATAGATAGATAGATAGATAAACAGACAAATGCAACTGCAACTGCAACTACCGCTACCGCTACTGCTGCTACTACTACTACTACTGCTACTACCACTACTACTACTACTGCTACTGCTACTACTACTTCTACTTCTACTTCTACTTCTACTTCTACTTCTACTACTACTGCTACTACTACTACTACTGCTACTACTACTACTGCTACTACTACTACTACTACTCCTACTCCTACTCCTACTCATGCTCCTGCTCCTGCTCCTGCTCCTACTCCTGCTCCTGCTCCTACTCCTACTCCTACTCTTACTCCTCCTACTCCTACTACTACTACTACCACTGCTACTACTACTCCTACTCCTACTCCTACTCCTACACTACAGCTACAACGACTACCACTGCACCTACAGCTAACGCTACAACTACTTGACACTGCACTACGCTAATTACACTCCACTGCGCTACAACTACAGCTGAAACTACAACTACACGACATTACACAACCCTACACTTCAACTACCATTGCCACTACAACTACACTACATTGCACTACACTACACGAGACTGCACTACACTATTCTACACTGCAGGACACAAGACTACACTACACTACATTACACTACATTACACTACACTAATTACACCACAACTACAACTGCAACTGCAGCTGCAACTACACTACACTAAGTACACTACACTACACTACAACTACGACTCCACTACACTACACTACCGTACAATTGCAACTACAACTGCGCTACACCACACTACGTCCAGCAGTAGTGGGTGAGGTGACCACTGCAACTATTGCAAGCACTCCAAATCCAAAAAACACAACTCCGACTACCTTTCGGTCCATCAGCGGATTCGCTCTGCCATTCCATGCATCACAACAACTCACCTCTCCTATAGCGTCCAATAATTGAAATTTCCGCCACCGCCTTGTGCGGTACTGCTAGTACATGTGTTATTGTTAATATACCATATTGTAGTATTACAATATATTTTAAAATGTAAAGTGCTGTGTATTGTTATTGTTTTTATACTACTTTTCGGTTTATTTGTAGTATTAACCACCCAAATGATTGGGGTACCCAATTTTGACCCATGCCCATGTGGGTCTTGAAAAGAAGATGGCTAATACGCCAATGATTAACCATGTAATATTGATTGAAAATCTCATTGTGAAGCCACCAAGTCACCTTTGTACAACGCGCCACAGAGAGGGCGCACATATATGCTACGGTACACCGTGGAAGGGAGTGTATGGACGTAGGAAAAGCGAGCATTATCAAACAATGGGTTGCACACAGCAAAAACATCAGACCAGCAATTTTGCTGCAGACTTGTTGATTCCTGTGTGCAATCCAGCATAAACCTCACGACACTGGTGAAAGTGGACAACGGTCGTCGCTGCCCGAATCTTCAAGATTTCAACCAAAAAAACTTGTGGAGTTCGTCATTGTCCATGTCTGTAATAAATTTCTCACCTCAACTTTCAGTCGTTGGCATGGGTCGGCAGCGAGGGAGAAAACATGGGAACAATTGTGTTTCTGACTTCAAAAAGGTATCTCAGGAAAGAATTTCAAGAGGCCCAAAAAACAATTGCAATATGCACAGCCTCTATTCGGGCTTTGCTCACACTTTCCAACACCGCATGTTGATCCGACATGTGACATTTTCTGCCGACCAACTTCCAGGGCCAAAAACTTCCAAAAACCCACCAGCGGATCTGCCAGGGGACAATCGAACATCACCAAATCGCTGAGCTGTTGTTTCTGCTCCAGAATTTCGGCCAACCTCTCCTCAAAGGTGTCCTGGCGGGATGGTCCCTGAAAACTGTGACCCGGTGTTTGACAAAATCACAAGCACCGCAATCGGACCAAATCTGAATCTGCACCGCCCATCAAGGCATATCAAGGCCAGCATCCCGGCATGCCCCGGCCTTGCTGATGAGGAAATGCACAAATACGGTCCTTTTCTGACCAATGCGATGAGCACGATCAGTGGCCTCCCGAAATGAAAGCCATGGATCCATGGGAAGCCAGGTCATCGGGCAAAGTTACTGTAAGGGTTACTCTAAGAGTTGCAAAAATTGATGGAATCTGGCGAAGATTGTGCCAGTTGGCCACCTTTCACACTCGGCCCCTTAATGATGGCACAACTGGAACCGAACAGCTTCTCAGCTATCCCATACTAACCTGTTCACGTTGGCCTCACCAGCGCACTTCCTTCAAGCATCCAGTCAAACTACGGAAATCATCAAATATTGAAAACATAGTGGAAAGGCTCAAACCTCAAAAACCAAAACAAGGGTGGAACAGGCATGGCCCTCTTCAGTTTTTGCCAAGTTTTGTTTCTGGTCTCTGGCCTATGAAAATTCAACTTTTTGGAACATATTTGGTGCTTGAAGCCAAGACTGGGCAACGTGGAAAAGAACTTCCTAAATATTGCAGAAAACACAGGGGTGGGAGGGGATTGGGGAGTGTCGAAGCAGGTGGCGATAGCGTAAAAAATGTATTTTACCTGGGCAAAACGCACTTTTTCGATGCAAACCCAACGCGCAAAAATAATAACATGTACGCAAAATTACCATCCTTTGTTGTAATGACAGATCCAGAACACATCGCTGGGCTGCGAAACTCATAAGTGACATCCAAATTGTAGAAAAAACATCGTTACCTACAAGATTATCCCCATCAACATCCATCAACTATCATTATTTCCAAAATGGTATCAACCATGATTAGCCCGCACGATCCGCATCAACATCCATTGGTATTCATAGGTCTTGACCCATGGGCCATGGTACTCCCATGGCCCTGCCTGGTTTTCCTTGGCGGGGTTATACTGGCGATCAAAGTGAATCACATGAGTAGCAGCCGTGAGGTTCAAACCCACCGTTCCAACCTGGATCAATGGGATGATAACCAATTCGCTGACCAACAAACCATATTGCCAATGAATCATGGGACGAATTCATGGTGATTGATACTAGGAATAATGGGATAACTATTGGGAAAACAATTACCAACAACAACGAATAATATACCCTATTAATGGTTATTGGTAACAAGGAATAAGAAACAATAATGGGAATCAAACATGGGAAATAGTCATGGAACAATCATGGGAGAATAATACTAATAGTGGGAACAACCCTGATAAAAAACAATACTGGGAATATCGACTCGTAACAATGGACATATTGATAATACTTAGAATTAATAATACCAATAATGCTTGGAAAAATGGAAGCAATAATACCGATAATACCGATAATTATTGGGGCACCAATAACATGATTAGCTAACCAATAATTATTGGGGCACCAATAACATGATTGGCTAACCAATGGGAAAAATGGATAATTACCCATAAGAACCAAATGAACAAAGGATAGAACTACCATATGCTGGGAAAATTTCCAGAAAATAATCAACAATGGAAATATTGATTAATAACAGTAACAATAGACATATTTACTTTATAATAAGCAATAATCTCCAATAGCCACCAGTAAGGAATGGATAGGATGTGATGGGATGGGCTTCAAACCGACATGGAATTTGAAAATTTCCACGTTAAACTCATCAAGAGCTGACGGTCTGACATATCTGTGATCAGTAGAAAAGGCGGTACAGTAAAGTTTCCATGGCAAAATTGAGGTGAATGAACCATGGGCTTCCTTTTCACGCGCTTTCGAAACTACTTTCGAATCCCTCCAACTGACCAGTGGGAACGGCCCGAACCACCGTTATACACGGAAAATCGCGCAATTGGTAATCTTCAAGGAATGCTTCTGCAAAGGCAACCCGTCACCGTAGGCAAAGTCTCATGGATGATCTTTCTGAGGCCATTGAGGGTGAGTGCCCACTGTGGGTGACTATCCCTATATTTCTGATTCATGAAATTTCATTAGCCATCGTTTCCATATGTTTCCATTACCATTGCCGCACATTGCTCATTTTCAATGTGCGGATACTGACCATACATGTATATCATATAGTTGTCATTGCCATCATTTTTCCAATTTTTCCATTCACCACATTTCACATCATTTCAACCTTGTGGTCCCTCCGGATCCCTCCGATCCTGGGAGAGCAGAAGTAGTGAGCAGTTCGGATCATTTTGGAATTGGTCGATCAACGCCTGGCGAGGCTGTGCATCTGGGAATCCTTTCTGGTGGCCATTGCACTCTCAAGCTTAACCCTTCCTTCCTGATGGCAAGATTAGCAGAACCAATAATGATCATCATCAAAAAATCATCAACTAGCTGCTATGCATCCATTATATTCCGATTATCTGTACCATCGTGACAAGATACTTCTCATAGTGTCAGCAGTTACCCCATCTGGTTCTTCATGTAATAAAATTTGACATGCCTTGCCAAAATCGAAGGGTAATGACCCTACGCTACCATATTCAATCAGCCGAAATCTGATCTGTAACCAACCTGACGGCAAAGGATTTGGTAGTCATCCCTCATCACAAGCATCTGCTTGGAGCACTATCCGCTTACAAAGTTGGTAAAAACAACCATCATCAACGTGAGAGCAAGGGCATAACAAAACGTCAGAGCAGGACTTTTGTAACAGGTTGGCCGTTTGATTCACCTGTCCAGCTAGGATAGCCTTTGGCTTCAAAATCTGGACTGGTAAAAGACTGACTCCCCCTACCCAGCTGGTGTGGGCGGGCGGGGAAATGAAAACACCCCAGCCTTGAGCCAAAATGGCCACCAAGGCCGAGGTGAAGCTCCCACCCTCAACTCCCCTCTCACTCAATTGGTTGTTACAAACACAGCAAGCTGTTAAAACCAACAACCATCATCAACGTGAGAGCAAGGGCATAACAAAACGTCAGAGCAGGACTTTTGTAACAGGTTGGCCGTTTGATTCACCTGTCCAGCTAGGATAGCCTTTGGCTTCAAAATCTGGACTGGTAAAAGACTGACTCCTAGATGAGTCAAATGCCAACCATGTCCCACCTGCGCAGCGCATTACGACTCTGACGACTGCGACCGGGAAGAGGAAGAAGAGCTCCCGTCGCTTTCGTTATTTGCAGGGAGCTTGAAACATTTAGAGCATTTTGCTCCGTTAGGCTCTTCTTTGAGAAGGGCATAGTCGGCTTGGCCACGGGCAAAATGCCAAAAGCACTTTGTACGCCACAGGTAATGTGGCAAAGTGTTTCCGTGGCGTGCCGCCAAGTGTACTTTGCCTCTCGAAGAGCGGTTTCTAACAAAAAGTACATCATTCTCCGGTGGATCTGGTGCCGGAGGTTCGATGATTGCTGCCGCCTCGCAGTCAGCCAAGGCTTCAACCGGCTGGTGGGCAAGGCCAGTTGCGGCTGCCGTGGCTTCTTTGGTGGCCGCCAGAATGGCCGATAGCTCTGCCCTTGCTGATGCTAAGGATGCTTTGAGCGAAACTTCTTGGGCCAATCCATGGAGCTGTTCGAGGGGAGCGTCTCTTACATATTGTTTAAATATTTCGGATCCCCAACGACCAAACAATTGGATTCTCCAAAGTTCGATTTGGGTGCGAGCCATGTGTACGGCTCCCGTGGCCCTGGCTGAGTGGCCTGTGAATAGTCGAAGCCCAGTGGGGCCGACCAATTTCAGCTTCAGCTTTTGGGCAATCGCCTCAAAAGTGCCGGCCCAGCCTGACTTGGTCGTCTGAGCGCCGGTTTCTGTACAGAAGAGGAACGAATGCCTTTTTGCTTTGGCCCATTTCACTTGTTCCACCATGAGATGGTATGGACAGAGTGCTGGGCTTCCTTGCTCCGCGCAGGAGCATGTGTGGGTGCGAGTGGCGCCCAACGCGCGCCAGTCTGCTTTACTGGACGGCAAATTCCATTTTATTAACTTTTCTCTAGGATCCACTTGCACGTGCGCTAGCAGCGTGTTGCTGGCTTCAATTTCCCTCAACAACCACCAGGACGCAAGCACCGTTGACCGGACGGCCCATTCCGGGCCCCCTGGCGCAAGCGGGTTGCTTACGTCGGTGAGAGTGGAAACATCGGCCAAGGGCAAGGGTTGAGCTTGCTTTGCTGGCCCTCTGCCCCGCTGGCACGCACGCTTGGCGCATTTAGCCGCTAGCGCTAGCTGTGCCGTCCAGGGTTGCCCTTTTTCGATGTGCCTTTGCTTCGCGACTTCGAGGTACAGTTCGGCTGACCTGTACCCTGCTTTGTCCAGGGCCCCCATGACAGAATATATCAGGTCGGGGACGAGATCAAAAGCGCGATCGTACCCGGCTGCCTTTGCTACGGATTCCCAGGTGCGCTCCCTAGACAATGTTGGTCCATGGGAGTTAGCCGCACGGGCCCGCTTGGCAATGTGCTCCATGCACTCCCGGGGTCCGGAGCTGGCTGCCTGAACAGCTAGCTCCAGGGATCCCCTGCCATATGGTTTAACTTGGCGGTCCTCGGGATTTCCCGCCTTGTTGTCAATACCATTGGCAACGGGGGCACGAGACGAAATGACTGGCCCTTCTGCCAAGGGCCTGAACCCTTTAGGCTTCTTGGGCTCGTCGTGAGCAGTAGCTGGCCTTTGCCAGTATGTGGGCCCTACGGACCTTTTCATGCTTAAAATGCTGCGGAGAAAAACTAACCGATCGGACAACCCTCCTACACCTAATAAAACAATCACACCCAAAAACCTACCCCCATCCCGTCCTCAGGTAAACCGCCGCACTTTTTCCGCGTCCGAGTTCACGGATTTGCCAAAAGTCGGGACCTACCTCGATGGGAATCCGTTTGGCTTCCCCGAGGCGATCTTGAGGAAAAGGAGGCGGCACTGGGTCGTGTTGCCTGCTCAACGGGTCGGCTGTGATGTTGAGCTTGGTGTTGATGTGCTGGAGTATAGTGACCTCATATCTCTCCTTGGCCTGGTCGAGTGCTATTTCCCTGGCAACCACCTGCAGTTCGGGTGATTTGGCCTTACCCTTCGCGAGTAGGTAAAGGGCCGATATGTTGTCCGCTTTTACACGGACCACTGAGCCAATGGGGAACCGCACTAACCAGATGCGAGCCGCCAAGAGCAGGCAGAGAGCCTCCCAGAGTGCCATGTGTTTTGGTATTCCGGGAATGGCTCCTGTCTTCACTGTGAACTGAAAGGGAATGGGGCAGCTGAAATACTCGATGGCCGCCCCTCCCATGAGTAGCACTCCGCCCATGCCCCAAGTCGAGGCATCGGTTATGATTATGGCACCTGAGTTAGGTTTGACTGACCTCACCACTCGAGTGAATGGTACAGTCGATTCTTCCAATAGCGCGAGGATCCATTCCATGGAGTGGGCAATCCGTTTGGTGTGAACGAGCTTTCTGGCCCTGGAAGGGCCATCATCAGTCGCCAACACCGCCCAGATGCCTCCCAGGAACGGGCGCATCAATGGGACGACGCTTGCGAAGAATGACAGTGTAGCGATTGCAATTGCTTCTTGCCCACTACCGGTCTCGCCATAATTTTCGTGATGCGTTCCACAACCTCCGAGACCTTGTCGGCTGGAATGGTTATGGAAACCGCCCTGTCCTCCTGTAATATGCGCATTTCTGCGCCGATCCATTTCACTGAATGACCTGACTCTGCCTTCTCCATTTTGATTGGGAAACCCGCCACGGCCGCCCAGAGGATGCTGACCGTGATTTGTTTGTCCCCCTTCGGGTCGCTGGAGTCGAAGACCATGATGGGGTCGTCGACATAGATCTGGCATGCCACTGCCGGGTTGACGGCCGCCAACGTTCTGCCCAGCCACGAGGCGAAGCGTCCCCAGAGAGTCGGTGACGAGACTGCTCCGAAAACGAGCACGTCATACACCAGTACTTTCTGTTGGCCGTTCACTTCAATGGCAGCTGCCGTGAACGCTTTGCCCTCCCCTGCCGGAACATTGTGGAACGCGTTCTCAATGTCTATCGCGAAGAATACTGGTGTGCCCCCGGCCCTGAGGATAGCGACTGCATCTGCCGCTGCGTCGGTTAGCCTGGGCAGTATGATTCTCTCGCCCTGAGAGCACAGTCCGTTTACCCCTGATTCACGTAGGTCCCAAATGAGTCGGGCCTTTCTCTTGTCACCCTTCACTTTCACGATAAGGCCAAGCTTATTGAGTACCGGCCAACGGCCGAGGTACGTTGTGGCCTCCTCCATGGTGTCGAACAGGGAGATGAAGCCTTTTGCTTGAGCCTCTGCAACTAGTATGGCGAAGTCTTCCTGCCATTCGTCAGCTGATGGGTGATTCTTCCATCCCTCGTATTGCCTGGCCAGCTGACTCGCCGCTTCCTCTTCCCAATGTGGTCCTGTGACCCTGGGAAATACCCCTGTGCAGGGTATCGGTTGTGAATAGCCCAGTGGGGCTCCTTCTCTCAGCCAGGTGGCCAGCAGCTTGGCGTCGGGGTCCTCTGTGAATTCACCCCAGGCCCAAAGCACTTCCGCCGAGATAGGCGTTGACGCCCTCGTGCTCTTCTGGGGTAGTTGGACGCCGGCCGGAGCCAGCAAGCCCACCACCAGCTCTCTGAGTTTCTCGACGAACGCTTTGTCGAGGGGCACGGTTTTCTGCCCTCCCAGAAGTGCCTTTGTAATGCGCACTGCTTCTGGATGGGTGGCTGCGTTCAGGAGGAGCTCATTTATGGCCTCGCCTGCAATCAAGGATCTGGGGAGTTTGGCTGCTGCAGCACGAGGGTTTCTCATACCCCCAAGCGCTGCCTCATTTTCCAGTTCCTTGTCTGTCCGCCTTGCGTCTTCCAGATGCGGCCCGGCTGGACCTTCAGCGCCCCCCTTTCAGGGGAGCTCCTCAGCTTTCATTTCTCTGAGCCGTTTGGCCCTAGGCTGGTCTGCACCCATCATGGCCCCTGCGATTATTTTGCAGAGCCTCGGTGGGTATGCTCCCAATGCCTTGGACGCCCTTTCTTTGTTGCCTCCCTCGTTGGTGCGCCACCTCTGCACAAGGCTTTCGTGCTTGGCCTTGTACTCTGAGCCGTCAGGCTTGGTCCAGGTGCGGTTTTGATGTGTGCACCTGATGCCTCTCAACTCGGTGAGGTCCATGTCGAAGTGTGCCAGCTTGGTCGGTTTGGTGACCTCTGCATCGAACATACATTGGTCGAAGGCCGCCTTGAGCACCAGTGCGTGCTTCTCGATGCCGATGCCCCACTTCGTTTTCCAGAAG